TATGCATTACCATGTGTTTAAACAGCCAAAACCTCCAGGTTATTTAAAAGTATGTTTAAATATAGCAGTTCACTTGTAAATTTTTTGAGGAATGTGTGTGAAGAATGCCCGAAGCATCTTGCCCATAGAAGTTACACTTTCTTGGCCCAATCTACTTTCTCACTATTATTACAATTTATAAGAGGAATACTTGTTTTGTTCATATTTGTAACATCTCTCAGCTTAATATTCAGAGTGACGACCACCAATTCCCGTTGAATATGACTTTCACTCCTTACCTAGTTGAACCCAACTAATCATGATATTCTAGTGTCAGTTATTATGCTAAGCTTATATACCTAATTCTAGCTTTCTGACATCCCATTTCATTCATTCTACTTGAGCCATACTTTGACCTTGTTATTTATTCGCTTATCAGTCTTCACTGTTTTTATATGAGCGTATATGTGTGTGCACGTCATATCCCATGACTCATTGCATGTCTGTAACTTATTTTTGTCTGACTATAAATATTGTGTAACGCTTGACTAAAATGGAATTGGCTTCCCAGCCATCTTCCCGGCGTGTCATTTTGCCTTACTCTGTTTCATTCGCTTCATATACAAAATATATGTATGCACAGATCAATTCTCGTTATTCGACTTAATTCCGTTATTGGCTAACGCGATTATGTCGACGATTATATACGAGAATAGGCGATAACAATCATTCGTACGATCAAATTGGAGTTAGATCGATGGGCCACTAAAATATTTCATTTTAACATCAACATTTCTTTTTAAAGCGAATCAGTAGTGAGCAACCCATCTTACTATTGTCGAAACGCTTCATAGAGAGGGTTTTGAAGTATAGGTGGTATTCATTACGAATTAGGATCAGTTGGGTACTATTGAAAATCGTGGAATACTGTATGTTAATTATTTGGGATGAGAGATGTGAGTCCTTGTACTAATACTTATTGATCAGATTTATAAGCTTAAGAATTGAAGGTCCTTGACTGGGTAATTGACGGGATCATGAGTTCACGCTCTTGAGTCGTCCCATTTTTGTACGAAACAGATGTTCAGCAATAATATTAATATTTCAACCAAGTTTCGCAATAACGGGATTATTTTAAATCCTTTTGAATAATGATGATAAAGAGAAGAATAAATAGGAAATGAAAGATTATGAAGGTTACTTTCTGGAACATTATTACTGTTACTTCTTAATGTATAATTACTAACATTCGCTTTACTCAATTTCCTTATTACCCTAATCACAAGCTTTCGTTTTGTCTATAAACTGTTTTCATATCTCCTATTCCAGACTTAAATTTCAATACTAACCCCGTATCCTATTTTTGTACCCTAAATACTCTATTTTGACGTACATTGTTTTTTTCTCATTAAGTGTACATACATTGGATCCTGTACTCTTTCCAGATAATATGGAATTAGGATATAGTGGTTTTTTATCAGTCATCTTCTGTTGTTGATCAATCTATATCCGAATATAGGCCAACAGGAAAGTTCACTACCCGTGAAATTTATTAGTCACGGATCAAACACGTGCATCTGCAGTCTCGAGGTTATATTACGTAACCTAGTGCAGCAAGCATTATGACTGGTTACGAAACAAATTTCTCTGCATAACCAATTACAGGATCAATGGGCTAACTAAAGTTATGACAAATGTTATAAGTAACTATCTGTCTGGACTCAGTACTTCAGCGGATAATGAGTTGAGTCTCTGAAAAAGGAAAATGCTGGCCTCAAGTCTCAGTGTGATCGTCGACGTTGGAATGCAGCTGATGTGTCCCAAATATGTTGAAACGAACATCTTGAGGACCACTGCTAAACACAAAATCCATCCGTCCTATAAATAATAATGACTTTTGTCAGTCCATTTAGTCAAACTCTGAGTAGTAATTATAAAAACGTCATCGAATATTCTTTGACGAACAAAACAATGTATTTAAGTATATCAAAATATTTTGCTCTATTTAATTGTGTTCCATGAAAATAGCATTAACAAATATTCACATTATATTAATATCATTACTACTGTCGTCAATATAAATTTCAACAGAGCTCATATAAGCGTTACAATTTCTCGAATGTTAAGCTGTTTTCAAAAAAATTCCGATTATTCATTAAAAATTCTCCTGTGGTTACTTTTCTTTTGTGTTCTGGGAATACAAATGAATTAAATGACTGAAGTATATTGTACTCCCTGAACTAATAAACAAACCTCGTCCAAATATATTAGTGTAAATATTGAGCTACTCATAAGTAGTATATTTTTCATCAAAGAGTTTTATCTGTAACATTGTAGTAATTCCTTACTTTGGTTTTGATGTTACTTATTACCGTATAAACAATTTATAATAAGGTCTGAAAAAGGATTTTTATTCCGATCTCTAATGTAGAATACATCTGTATGTTAAACAACCTTAGTGTGAAAGTCATCTTGAAATAAATGCATTCCCGAAAGTTACCGTACCCTAATTCATAGGCCATATTTGTCACAGATTGTTCTCAGATTAACATTGAAAATCAAGCAGAAGTGGATAGCCGTTTTATATTAGTGTGGAAAACCTTTGCAATAGGAGCGCACGACCCCACTAGGGATTGAAACCAGTACCTTCAAACATCTCAGAGAGCGCTAAAATCTAGATCATTGAGTTGAAATTTAATTGTTTTCTTTTTTAACTCCAACCAGTTTGGAGTACAACACAACGGTTATTCGGTATTATTATTAACAATTGCTTTGGTTCTGACGAGTATGAACCCTACCCGTCATGAAATGTTACCAACCTAATCTATTTCTAATATTAACTCACCGCTTAAATAATTTAAATTAGATGGTTGGAGGCAGTCAGTATTAAAAGATGCACGACTTAGACTTAGTGCTAGTTGGCATTTTTGTCAGTAATGCATGCCTGCAAAGTTGACACCTCATGCAGAAACGAAATACTGATCACCCAGTTTCACAGTCTAAGATATTGCCATTGAACTTATCATCCTGCTACTGACCTCCTATGGGATTGAGATATTATAACTGATTGATTAATGAGTAGTGACTGATGTCATATTTGTTTAGTCTTTCAATAGTGACTATGTTCTAGCAAACGAGTCGCAACTAAGAATTTTGATGACGCGGGTTCGTTTGTATTCGTGGGTTTACTGTAATAATTGCAACCAAAAATCACTTCAATTTCAGAGACAATAATGAGAACACGGAGACGGACTTAGAAATATGATTTTTACCAACATTCTGAAATACATCGGCAAATAGTGACTAGCTAGGCCTGTGAATAGCACGACGCGAGTAAGAATACGAAGATGACAGATGAGTGTTGACTTGATATCCAAGAAATAAATCATAATAATATCTGGATACTTTAACTTTTATATGAATTACACTGAACAGACAGATTTGTACAAAATCAACGGAGTAGTAACTGAAATTTATTAATCAATAACTTACTGTGTGAATATAAATTTAACTGTTACATCCTCTACTTGATTTTGGAAGAATACGATATGCAAATACTGGCAGTCAAATGTGTAGAACCTTACAGTTGGATGACGGAAGGAAGAAACGTGATTATTTGGTAAAAATAAAAAAATCTACAGAAAAACGTGGGTATTTATAGTTATTGTTATTGACTACAACAACATTTTAATCACCCGACCTGCAAGGATGCGATTTATGCTATCTCCCAATCGTATCATGTCACGTTGATATTCTAGAAGGCTCTGTCAAGTTCTGATTGGATAGAGTCTCTTCGGTTTCTTTAGAGTCCCTTGAGGCTTCGTCGTGTTTTCAAAGCCGTCCCAACATTTACAATACCATAAACTTAAATATATGTAATCAAAAAATATGATTAACTCACTAAGTTAAATAATTATACCACCTTAAGATGTAATTACTTGTCAAAGACACCTGGATGAACTTGATTTTGTATATCGCTATCACTGAAATCAATTGAGTCCTTGTTGAATATATAAAGTTTATATTTCATAGAATGCATCAGTTCACACAAGATTTTAACATGCCACGTTGATAATTTCCGACAAGGACGAAGGTTAGGTTGATCTGAGTTTTGCATCGACTCTGTCCTGTCATCCAATATCAAAGCATATGATTTTAAGTCTCTTATATTAAAGTGGCTACATTGCAAGTTGATCCGCTAAATTTGATTAACATTCAAATACTTGACAAATATGACATTGGTCACTACTTCATGACTAATCAGTTGCGGAAAACAATAAAATACCAGCAGGTATCGAACAGTTATTCCATTGTAGTTTTTGATAATCCTTAGTAGTGTACACGCAAAACTCAAGAGAATTTAAGTTTTGCAACAATGTGCACAATAGATCTATACTATTGAATTCGGACCTAATATTTCAACAAGTTCAACTTTAATCATTTCAAGATATTTCTCAATTAGCATTCATTTTTATTCATCAAGTCTTACTCTTGATAATAGTTAAGCTCAACTAGTCATTACACAACAGTTGTTGATCGATTCTATGAAATGTAGAGATATAGAATATATAACAAATTTATTATTGGTTACCATAGATTGCTGATATTTCTTTCTCCTAAATAAATATTTATCTGAAGAACGAAGCATTTTAACTTTTATTGATTGATTGGTATCTAACATAACATAATAGAAAATTTAGTTGCGATGAAACATCTATTCATAGAATAAAAAAAGAATAAGGACATTCATTGTTATAAAATTTTAATAATGATAAATATAAAAAAACAAACAAACATTGTTTTTTTTTCAAAATGAAAATTTTCATTGTATCACGCGGATTAGTAGGTCAAATAGTTTAATCCATTCATAAAATCCTAATTTAGGGCGTAAATGGTACAATGATAAATTAACCCAATCATATTCTTTCACATTCAAGTAACCAATGACCAACTGTTTAATTGTTAATTTAAATATACCCAAATTCTTTGATTCAGTTTCATTTATTTTATTTCTTTTTTTGGGGGAAAACAGTGTCGGTAAGCATAGATGTCTAACATTATAAGAATGTTTATTTTTTATTTTAAAGAAAAATCCAGAAAATGAAATTTGTTGTCTTTATTTGATTTTATATTGCTTTGCAGAAACTTTAATCATGTTTATTAGGTTGTAAGTGAATACTAAAGAATGGTTGAAAATATCTTTTCATTGTTCTCTGGTTTTCAAAGGATCTTATGTGTGATAAAAACCGCGGTTAATATATTTGTTTTGTTTCATTATTAAATGAAGTAATTTTGACTGAGTTTAAAAACCGGTATAGATTAGTTAGTTCTCTACTGATTACAAAAGTAATAAAACTAATGTTATACATGTCTAACCATTAGTTGTGTTAACATTCTATCGATAAAATTGGATTATGGCCGATTGTCTGAGTAATTCCGCACTTTGGAATACTAGGTTTTGATGTCAAGTGGTTGGTATCTTTTAAGAGTAAGCCTTTGTTCTGAGTGATAGATGGCAGTCATCAGCATATACTATCTATGATCTTGGAGGAACTAATATGTTCCTTGAGATTCAAATGTGTATTATCAATTTTTACAGTTAGGAATAATTATATATTTGACTGAAGCACTGATAGAGAATGTGGGAGAATGGCATGGATTTATTTTATTTCATGATTTCTCTTCAGCTACTTACAATCTAGAATTAGTAGTATTGGTTATTTAAATAAAAAACAATGTACATACTTTATAACCTACTATCAGAAATCTACTCATAAATGGAAATTAGTAGAACAGTAATAAATATGGAAGAATATGAGAGACGTTTAGATGGGTTAATATTTATATGTAAGATAATATGGAATTTATAGAAGAAATTTTAAAAGATAATAAAGACAGGTTAACGAAAAATTGATATTAAAAGTTACTCAGTAACAACAATAATAAGGTTTGATTATAATATTAAGATGAGTGAAACTTTGATAAAACTCAAGAAAGTATGAGGAAAGTGAATTTATAATTATAAACATGAAACGTTACACACTTACACTTTGAAAACTGAGGTCATCAGAGTAATGTAGGAGTGACAACAGTATCATGTTGAATGTATAAATCTAGTTCAAGTCTTCTGGAAGCAATGCCTTCAGGGAAATTTACTGAGTTCAAAGTTATCTGTTTATGAATAATTTTTGAAATTTGAATTCACGTCCACTATCCAGTACATTACGAGAGACCGCTGTATTGAAGATATGTTTACCTCTTAGAGATAATTTCTGTGTATTGTACTCGGAGATGCAAGGATAACTATACTTTCCGAATAATTAGAAGCAACATAAGGAGAGTATTTGCTAACTTTTGAATGTTTTAAAGAACAATTTTTTTGATGTATTAGATATAACCATATGACTATATGTGACCCTGCCAAGTATCGATGAGAGACCTAAAAATTCTGGGTTCTATTTATGTTTTAGCAGTATGTGTTAATCTCTGTTTAGTCTTCTACGGGAATATGACATTAGTAAATGAGGTTTGTGAATTTCTTACTGATTTACAGTTAACAACATGATCTTATGACCAGTTGATTTATTGTGGGCACCCATATCAACCATTATCGTAGTGAGCAGAAAACGCGTTGTGACAATCGAATTTAATTAATACAAAATTACAGGACTTGTTAATAAAATTTAACAATCATAAAGTAAATGCTTAATTTGCAAAATGTTCATCGATTGTCTAAAAATGACTCAGACTTCATTGTACTTGCATTTTCATACAAATTGCATTCTGTTTCAATTCTTTACTGTTCGATCCTCTTGTCTCTCTGCTACCAGACCTTCTGTTCACGACTAACATCATCTACTACTTATGTCAATATAAGTAGCACACACCACATTATGATTTAACCTATTGGTTGACCCTATATACATGATTAAACAACAATAAATGTTAAATATATCTTATTCAAAATAATATAAACTCTCAAAACAAAGCCAAATTTATGCAAATTTAAAATTAATTAGTCACCGGTTTCTACTTTCTTAAGATTGAGGTATTTGTAAATTACATTTTATTTATCAAATATATAAATAAGTAGTTAGGCAAACACGAATTTAAGTAACACGAATAATTCGAAAAATATTCTAACTTTTAAATATAAATGAATAAGTAAAATTTACTTAGATGTATCCATTGGATTAATACTTTGTTTATTGTATAAATTTATTTATTTATGCACTCATCTGATCTCTTGCATGTGATCAACTGTACTTATAGGAATAATTAAATAGTATCATTATAAATAGAATGATGTGATATTTAGCATATTTAGCATAAGGGGAATCTAGGAGATGTGCTTCATCTTATTTAAGACTCATCAGTTGGTTGTAAGTGTATCCCAATGTGAACATTTACACTGAAACTCAAACCTAGTACATTCCGCTTCGAAAGCCCAACGAATGATCTATCACACTATTGAATCCTGATATGTAATCAATATTTGTCATTTCAAGGTTTTTACTTATGTGATATTATTTGGAATTTTTTTTAATTGAAAGTATAAAATAGAAAGTTATATAGCTATAGTAAATCATTTGTCAACATTGACGCTTACTGAGTAAACAGTTTACTTCTACCGAATGTATGTAATTAAATGAGTGATAGTTTTCTATAAGGACTACAGTACAACTCTATTTCACCTTTAAATATAAAAGTATGACTGATGTTTGGAATAAGTTTATTAGTTTTTAGTTAGCAGGTGAAATATATGTGAGTATAATGGATTTTTTATTTAGTTTGCGTGGGATCGTGGATATTTCTTAGAAAACAGTATTAAAAGAACACAAATCAGTGTCCAATTTTTCTTGGTTTACAATAGTTTTCTAACGAAGGTTAAGTAATGATGAAAACTAACTGTTTCATAAAACCAGATCACTTAAATAAACTTAGTATAACGGTTGATTTTGAATAGTTTTCTTCTATATGAAAGATGAATTGATATGAAAAAGAATAATTATCAATATGGTACATGATTTACATTTACATGTTTGTATTTCCTTTATTCGTACTAAAATAATGAGAATTTGGGAATATACTTACCTAAATACTTTTAAACCAGTGCTACAAATTGCAATTTCTAATAATACAAAGTTATCAATACAGTGATTTGTATCCCATATTACTCTCCAAGTATAGTAATTTGACCGATAACTCTTTTGAACAGTTACAATCTTTTCAACATATGTTATATATGTATATTGTTTACAATTGTTAAAAATGGAGTATGCACCGTTCTACTTGTAAGGAACTGTGGTATTTTACCGTGAGATTTATTTCGCATATAATTTTAGTGGATTATATTTATGAGAACACTCTCAGGTCTCCTGTCTTAAAATATATGTCTTGTAAATAATAATTTATTTTAATAAAGAAATGGATGATCTACTTCAGAAATGTTAATTACCTGTCACTTTATGAAGAGACATAAATTGGGAACGAATGGATTTCAGTCGAATTCAGCCATAGAGTTGATACTGAGAAGCGATCTTTTTATACACTAACTCAATCTTCACTTGGTATTGTTTTGCTTGTATCTTCCCATTGAGGTTTAAGACTACAATTGATCAGTTTGTTATTGGTATATGTGCATACTGTGCGTATGCCTTGATAGTGCCTTAATTCACAAGCTTTTATAAGCAAAATGGATAGGTACATCCAGCTCACGAGTCCCAAGTAGGACGAAACGCGCGTCCTGGATTCCACTGTTAGCCCCTATCCATCTTTACTACCTCAATCTGTCACTTAAATGAAAAGATTGAATAAGAAACGTTCATCACTCAACTGGATCAGCCTTTGCTCATTTACATATATATATATATATATCCCTTAGAAAACTGAGCCATCAATACTGTGTTTCATTCCTAAAATAAAAAAGAGCTATTTCTTGGCCAGTCACGTACCATTTATTCGATTTGGATTTGACATTTAATAAATACAAAAATAGAAAAAAATGTTTCAGAATGTATTACATTTCATATAATTTTTTATTCAACAAATATTGAAGGAAATGAAATGATAAGAGTCTAGTACAAGGACAAGCTTTAACAATTCATAAAGTAATCACAAGAACACTTATAATATTTAAATAGTTTCGTAAAACGGAACAATAAGATTACAAAGAGTCTACATAAATAATGAGTTCGTTGAAATTTTATACAAGTACTTTTATCTTTAAATCAAAAATACAGCAATATGAATTTTTCCATTCGGGTATTCAGTATTCATTTTCTTGGACTATTATAAAGCTTCAAGTAGTCTTTTCGAAGTTCCCACATTATTTTTGATTATGATAAATGTTAGGATAAAGAGTTTATAATCAGAGTTGAATTGTTTGCCATACATAATCTACATTAATAACACTGAGCATTTGATATGCTTAACACTTATTTTTGCTCGATGACAGAAAAAAAGGAATAATTTTTGTTGTTGTTATAATTTTAGACATTTTGAGTATTGTATAAAGATATTTTTACTTCTAGTTTAATGTATGATGAAAATCTTTCATTTTCGAATTTTGCGCAAAGTCATTTTCTTGATTCTGATTGGCTCGTCATTTTAATTATACTTTTAATAGGTATATTGAATATATTTTAATATGTAAGATTGTATTATTTGTCTCTTTCTCAATTAATTTTTTTTTGTATTTTAAAAAAAAACCAAGATTCTTCATTTAACGACAGTTCTGTAAACCGACTGAAAAATTGATTAAAATAACCGCGTTTAAACTGAATGATAAAATGGTTTTATTGATTGTTACTGTGTTACTTTTTGAATATTCATGTTTTTGACTTACTAAACAAACAAAGTTAACAACAAACAAAAAAGCAAACAACAACGGTCAAAAATGAGAGAAATATATATGATATTACTATTTATGATCAAAACAAAAAAGAAAAAGAGCAGTGACTCACTATTCATGTACTACTTATATGAACATATAAGAAAATATAGTTTTGAGTAATAGTAATAATAATAAGTACAAGTTAAATGTGAACACTTTGTATATTATCAATATAACGAACCTATATAAGTTGAACAACCATTGAAAATATGAAAGCAGTGAAATTTTATTTATTCCTTCTATGAGACTACTCAGCAATTCCTATCCAAGACCCTATCACTAAGTACCTAACTCAGACTTTTGAGCCTACATTCATTGGTTTTACACGTCAAACTTCAGTTAATCCCCAATATTATATGAATATCTACAATTTTCTTTAACTAGTACATTTACCAAACCCTGCATAGTTAAACTCTATCGGTCATGATTTCTCACTAAGACACCGGAAATTCTCTCTTATAGTTAGTTATTCAGTGGTAGACAAATGTATTCTATTGGTACGGGGGAGTTTTTGGAAGTCATTAAACTTCCCTAGTTTACATCATCGACTAATCATAGTGAGACAGCCGAAATCTTGAATTTGATTCTCTGTTGTAGTACTATAGATAGACATTGGTGGTCATCTGCATACTAAGAAAAAACAGATGCCTAATGATTCCTTGTTTTTAATGTTTGCCTCAATTAGATTGGTTTGTGGTCTCAATAAGGTTCAACGATCCTTACAACCCTCATGCTGATAGGTATATAAGAACCACGTAAAAGTCCCTTTTATACCAAAGTATTATCTGTCAGTTTCAGGATTTTACTAATGAAGTGATGTAGATGTTAATTTGTGATGCAACATTGAAAGCATGCAAATTTTCACAAAGTCACATATATAAAATTTGCTAGTTGACTATTAAGTGACAAGCTTTAAGAGAAAGTTTCCCCATTTTCTACTCGGAACATTAACCAAGTCAGAGCAGGAACAATAAATCATGTTACATTACAGTTTAAATGAATCTCGAAATTTTAAACCATTGGTTTTTTTACTCAAAGGTCTAAAATACTATATTAACTGAGTAATCTGAATATCTTGAGGTGGATCCTGTGTGTGGGATCATGGTCATGGATATTATTGTGGAGTTTATAAACAAAACAATTAGTAGCCTAATGTTTAATATCCTTCCGAAGATTCGTTAGCTGATGCTACCTTGTTATGATAAATAAAACTTTTTTTAAAAAGATGTTGAGAAATGTATCAATCATCTATCTCTAGGGCAAAATATAAATATGGCCTCATATTCAAGCTGATCTTGTTAATATTCAGTTAAAAGTGAATACAGAAAACACAATCTATTTTATCGAGATATCTGTGTACCCACCATCAAAACAAACATGTTTGAATATAGTATACTTTGTAAACTGTAAGTCCTTATCTAGAATTGAAATATACGTAAGTACATGGTTGACGTATCCAATTAGCCTTTCAAAAACATTTACAAGTAATAAATAAATCTTTAGTCTAATAAATCTTTTTGATTAACTTTCAGCTTTACTATTATTTTCTAGATAAATAATATTTATTGAGGAAAATGATATTTCTATTGTGTTTTATAACTTGTATGAATTTCATTACATCAAATCCAACGACACAATCAGGTTAGTTTTGTTTTCTTCAAAAGGTTTATGTTTAAAAACAAAAACAAAAGATTGCCGTGAATTTTCATTATCATTGATATAAAGATTTCATTCGTCTCATGGATTATCTTGATTGTATATAATAAGGATTATTAAATGGTTTGATATTAGGACGAAGTAGCAGTCCAATGTTTTCTGGTGAAAATTCAAAAGTTTCTGCAAATTCAAAACTATATTTGAAATCAATGGCTCATCAGTGAAATCCAGTTATCTATTGTCAGAAATTCCTAGAATGAATAAAACCGTGCTTAAAATGAAAATAATTTTTAAACAGTTCTCAGAAAACAATTTAAGGAATTGTTTAATAAAAAAGTAGAACATTAATAATAAGACAGAGATGGATAGTGACTAGTGGTGGAATCCAGGACGCTCCATAAGCCACAAGCTAGCAGCTATCAGGACCCGGTAGCTAAAGGAATAACGCGATAGCGTTTGAAGAGAACGGTACTGGGTTCAAATGCCGGACTGAACGTCAACTCTCAAATGCAGGCAAATCCGGCTGACGAGACCCAAAAAGGACGAAACACGCGTCCTGGATTCCACTGCTAGCCATCATTCATCTTTGCTTATAATGCTTGTGACATAAAGCAATATCGAGGCATCCGCACAGGATGCACATATGTTAATAAGAGACTGATCAAGTGCAGTACCAAAACATCAGTGACAAGATTCAGGCCAACAATTTGAAAATCAAATTAATAATAAAATATAAATAGTCAGTAATTATGTAAACCATACACACAAGATTTCAGTTGCACTTTAGACGAGTTTCTTTCATATTTGTTGAGAATAATCAAATAATGATATGATGAAGTAAGAAATATGACTAAGAGTTAGATATTTATTCTACTGTTGAGTGAATAACCTATAGTTGTCATATCCTTCAATTGTTTGTTTGTTAATTGAATCTTAATCAGGTTATTTTGTTAAAAGGATAAAAATTATTCTACTGTGCAGATGTCTTGTCCCCTGTGATATCAGTTCAATTAGGTGCTTGCTTCCGTAAATCGATCAAATGAACGTTTACCAATGGGTCACATTTCATCCAATAATTTATTAGCTTTAAACTTTTTTGATTAAAATTCATAAAAGCTTGATGAAACTAAGTCAGATAACCGATAACAGTGATATAAAAGAAGTGAATTTTTACGAAAGACTGATGAATCGATAATGTCGGGGAAATTTTTAAATCTCCCAGTGTTGACAAACTATTCGTATTGTTCATTATGTGATGATAAAACGAGATAAGATTCCGTATCTTATGCCAGTCGTCTGAAAATGGTAAACATTTATGCTTGATATTACAAATTTGAAATTTAAACACGAGAAAACAGATTTGCATGACTCAAGGAAGTCAGTCAGTCAGTAACAACGTAGAACGTCTTACGTACATACATCAGTTTGGGTTGCCATACCACGATAGCACAGAGATACAATTTTCAATTCAAATCCCATAGTGGTAGAGGTAGTAAAAGTGTAAGCAGTAACCGGAAAGATTAAGGTTTGAAGATATTATTCAAGGAGTATAACTCAGTGAAATAAGTTTGGAAAGAGAAAAAATAGGGGAAATGAAGAATTCATAAGATCAGAACTTGGGAGAACACAAAGAGTGGGTGCACCTGCGCCATTGCCAACGAGTTGGAGCCATGTTATTCAAGTTCTCTAACCATCGGTTGCTATCATCTCGCGGATCCCAATCAGGTAGTCTACACCTACCAACATGGCTCAGTCCACTTGTCAGTAACTTCATGGATTTGTGTCATGTTTTGATCTGGTCGCTCCTAGCTTTCTTCCAACCTACTCCTACACCATAAAACATCACATGTCGGGGCAGTCGGTGGTTGGGTATACTTAACACGTGTCCCAGCCATCTCAACTGATGAGGTTTCACTACTTCGTTAATTGATTTGCCATCCTTACCTAGCACCCGTCTCCAAACAACTACATTACTTACTCGATGGTACCAGGATATACGAGTAATGTTTCGAAGACACCTATGATCAAATACTAGTAACCCACGAATATCATCTACTCTTACCAATCATGTTTCATAGCCATAAAGTAGGATGGTACTAACTGTTGCGCAGTAAACCCGTCCTTTGGTTGGTAGATGAATATCTCACCTACGCCACAAATGACGCAATTTGGCAAAGTCTAGTCGAGCCTTCTGTATCCGTGCTGAAATTTTGTCACACACCAGACCACAAGGGCTGATGAGACTCCCAAGAAGTAAATATACACTGATGATAGTCAAAGATTTTATTCACTACAATCATTTATTAATTAAATACATTCATTTATATAGCGACTTTAATGACATTTAACGATTAACTGTAAATAATTGGAACAAAACAAAAGTCTAGACTGAAATTACACAAATTAATGTTGTAATGAAAAATTAATCGGACTAAATTAATATAAACGAATGTTAAATGTTATACTGAAAGAGTATCACATTAATTGAATACAAAAGATTACTATATTGATCAAATATACCGGTGAAATAAATCATAATTTTACATTTGATTCCCTTTTAACATTTGATTTCAATTTCCAATATAAATTTAGTCTTTAAAGTGAAATTTATCAAATTTAAATTATTTATAAACATAAATAAATTTGAAATAGTTCAAAACTGAATTTATTGTCACGTTGGATGACTTAAATTGAACGTTGAAAAAAAGACTGACATTCATTTTAAAGAATATGAATAAAAGTTTTTGGATTTATATTACTTACTTACGCCTATTAGCTCGTAGAGGAGCATAGGCCATCCGCCAGCATTCTCCATTGAACACTGTCCTGGACAAACCTTTTCAGTTGTTTCCAGTTTCAGTTGATCCTATTTATGTCTACTTCCAATGCTTGACATAGTGTGTTCTTTGGTTTTCCGCTTTTCCATTCCCCTTCAGGATTCTAGGTAAGCGCTTATCTCGTGGCATAGTTTGGTGATTTCCAAAAGGTATATCTTATCCACTTCCATAGTCTTTTCCTAATTTCCTCTTCAGATGGAATCTAGTTTGTGTTTGCTGAGATATGATAGTCAATGTAAGACTGTTTGATAAATGTTGAGTTCTATGAACTTCTCTCACTGTTTTGTAAACGATAACTGTCAATATTATAAAATTGGACTCTTTGAGAAGCTTATTCTTTTATATAAAATAGCTGACAGGTAAAATTCTATTTTTGTATCAGGACTATGTATAACTTAATTTAATTTTCTAAAGATCTATCTGTTTATTATTTTCTTTCATTCAATATTGAAAATGAAATTCTTCAATGAAATATCACAGATTACCTTCTACAAGAAGAAGCTCATACGACAATCTCAGATTCTAACGAACATTTGACTGGGGAGTTTACAGTTACTGAAATGTCATCTACATCAATGGATTCTGAACCCATTATAAAATCTGACCATGATACTTCATCGGTTGAAGAAATTACTTCAAATCAACCGGACGAAACAACCACTGAATCTGATGAACCTGTGTTCGACAATAATCAACACAACGGTGATGAAGGAAATGATGCAGAGCATAATTTAGACGTCACAAAAGATAGACATCAATCATCTGAACAACATAATGATAACCAAGAAAATCATGAGGACGACCATGAAAACGATCACAAACATGAACAAGAGCATGATTACGAACATCATCATGAACACGAAAACGACTACAACAAGGCAGACATACATAAAAGAACCAGAGGTAAACATTCTGACTCAACTAATCCAAAAAACGTCAATAAGTTATAATAATGTGGATAATAATCTAAATAATGTGAGTACAAATAAAAGAAATAATTAAGTTTCTATGTGTATATGTGTGTGTATGCATTGACTTTACACCTCTATACACCACCCTATCGCACCCTACCCCACCCTCTATAACTATATTGTTTTTCTATATTGTTTTACAAAATATAAAAAGTTTTATTTCATTTGAATTCATAAAATTTATTGTCAATTATTTAATTGTAAAATTATTTATAAAATTGTTATTTCAATTTTTCATTTTATTATTTAATTCATAATTTAATTCATTAATTATAAATTTTTTTTTTGTTTCTTCATATCGAATATTTAATCATTATCATTTTATCAATGTGTCAAATTATATTGTCACCATTTTTTTTTTCGTTTTTTTTGTTGTTGTTAAAAATGTACACTTTCATAATATTGTTTACATTAACTTTAAGATTTAATTTCTAATAGTTAGTTAGTTAGTTATAATTGTTTCTAAGTAAATAAATCACCGTTTTTTTTATTATAAAAAAAACACAACCACATTGATCTACTTATTTAAGATACAATTGTCAAAAGATAAGAGATGGTATCGAAGATCATCGAGAACTGGCAAGTTATTTATCTTAATTGATTGATTAACTGGTTATAAATTGAAGTTGAGAAATATAAACCATTGGTTTAATTGTAACAATTTTATCCCAAAACTTTTAAGTTTCAAATTGATACTGTTGTTAAGTCGGACACAAATTAGAATAAAGCAGCAGTTGTTTAATACATTACGTTATTATAACCATGGAACACTGGTACTTAAGATAAGAAAACATTGAAATTAGTACTATTCAAGAATGAAGATAAAACTGATAAAAAAATGATAAGTTTGTTCACTTTCCAAAGATAATGATAATCACTCAGATCAAGTATAGTCATTTGTATATCGATTTTACTAATACTGATAAATAATTAGTGAATATTATATATCACCGAAATAGGAAAAAAATACGAAAATAAATTTTACATAGAACTACTACAAAATGTGTGCGGCATATTATCGTATTCTCTTAAGTACTGATTTATAAAAGAACTTGCTTTAAATATTACCTATGTTGATCTGACAAATAAATTTCATGAAAATCCATTTGGTCCTCCTTTTATGATCTGCAAGGTATTTATACATTTCACAAGGTAGGTGGATTCAACTTAGTTGCATAATACAATGAAAATATTATATTGGTATGTTAGTTTTTGATGCAAAGGCTATAAAACTGAGAATAAGTTTTTATTACACAGTTGAAAATGATTGTGAAAATCAGGAAATATTCAACAATTTTCTGCGAAATGTGAAGGTTTTGGGTTTGATTAAGTCGAAGAGGGAAGTGACGCTGCAGATCGAGATTATTAAAGAGTTTCCAAAACGACAATGTTTATGTTAGAAAATAACATAAACGTTTGAAGTTAAAACGTAAAAGTCAACCGATCGAAATTAGTCCTTATTTTTAGCATATCTACCTAAATAAAATTGGATGATGGTTATTGAATAATGGAACATCATGAACTTAAACTATGGTAAGTGTTTAGATACCATGGGTATTGGGTTTAAAAATAGATAGTTTTATAGGCATTAATGCTATGAGATTGATGTTCAATGATAATAATTTGACTTGGTATGTATTTGATAATCCGCATAACAGTAAAATGAAGTTTTCTGAGGACGATAATTCAGAAATGTTAATTGAAACACAGTGTGAATAAAGAATATTCTTTTCAAATAGTTTTTCATCAGATCCTACAATTACAAAGAGAAATCTATGCATCGATTCTGTTGTCAAGTAATAAGACAAATACATCTTTTAGAAATTACAACTTAATTTGAGGGGTTTAAGCACAGTAGAATTAAGCTATTAATTCAACTTTTTCTTGGTTGTTTGAGTCTTCCCATTGATGTTTAGGACTGCAAATGATCAGTCTCTTATTGGCAGATGTTCATCCTATGTGGAGTCTCGGAGTGAATATCAACTCTGGAATGCAGGGACGTCCGGCTGATGAGTCCTGAGTAGGACGAAACGTGCGTACTGGATTAAGCTACTAGCCACCATCCATCTTTGCTTTTAAAATTCCTGATGTTGAAGTGGCTAATATGTAATGTTTAAAATGTCATTTGAAATTGTGCGAATAATAATCGAAATGGAATGTAGATAACATTGAGTAAATGTTTTAACAAACATTATATAACATATGAAGTTATGTGAATTAATTATTAAGTAGTAAAGCTGAATAAATACTAATTACATTCTCCATATTACTAAATGATGAATAATAAAAATGAAATTATTTGTGAATAATAATGATAATAATATTTCAATAAGATAATTTAGAATTATGATGATACAAAGAGGAAGACTGTATATACATTGAGGAAATTACATCATCTTATAAATAAAATCACTGTTGACTTTCTGTGCATGAGGTTGGTCGAAGAGTATGTACTCGTTGGACATATTTCTTTTGTATTCAAATTTCCGGAATGCTAATCGGAGTAATTATTACTTTTATCTTCATCAATCTCAAGCCTAAAAATGTTTATGATCATCTCGAAATCGGATATCAGAAATATGAACGATTTGGAAATAATTTATTGTTATATTATAATTATATTTGTGATCACTATGATCAGCACTTAGGTATGATTCAATTTTTTAAGTAAGAAATTTAGGTTTAGTATTTTCCTCTGAACTGGAAGGTTTGGTTTACTCCTACTTGATGCTCATGATGATGATATTTAGATGAATAATGAAAGATCCAAAACCAAACAATTAAGCTCAGAAACCGAAACTTCACCTAAATCATCCACCTGAGCATCAAATCTTCTCCCCTATTCCAAAATCATATTGAGTATGTAAATTAGTTTGCTCCGAAGAACATCTCTTATCAAGAGATGTTGATAACTTGAAATACATTACTTTAGATTAGACAAACAACTGTATTAAGCCCGATCAGAAGAATAAACCAGAAAATAATAATAATCAAATTAGATGATGAATTAGTTTCTACTGTAATCTTAAAGGTGGTGAAAATTTCGTACTTCTAATTTCAATCATATATAAATACATAGGGAGAGAGATTTAGCTTTCCTAATGTAATGTAAATGAATATAGAATAAGTGTAGATATGCATTATAAACAATGTAAATAAATAAACCTAATCGATGCTCGATAGTGCTGTATACGTTAATAAGGAGAAACAATTGAACATTCTCAAATACGACGTAGTGAAGTAACAAAGAGTTCTCGTCATGAACTGATATAATTTTTGAGAAATTTTAGAGTATCTAACACCTAATTAGTCCTATTTTGTAATTCTTCAGCAGTAGACACTCACAAATTAAAACTGGACTGAACGCAAAACTTTCAAATCTCGAGAGCACCTCTTAAATGTCAGTCGGTTCATCACAATAACAAGGTTATGATCTCTTTGTTTATTGATCTATTCTATTGTACCCAAGAAATTAAATTCTAATTGACATGAACTCGTTTGACGTATAATAATATATCTTCATAGATTGAAATCATGAGTCAGTTGAGGGTAGACCACCATTGAAAACCTGGAAGCACTGGACGGCGTTTCGTCCTAGTATGGGACTCCTCAGCAGTGCGCATCCACGATCCCGCACCACGCATGGCTCGAACCCAGGACCTACTGACTTCGCGTGCGAGCATTTAACCATTAGACCACTGAGCCAAAATACATCTAACAATGAAAATGGATGATTTTTGATAAGATGTAAACCAATTTAAATTGAAAGTTTCTAAACGAAGCTTTCAATATCAATAGATACACTGAAGATTACTGTGATTACTGTGATCATGACATCGATAATTCTGGATGAATAAACACTGTATCTGACAAAGTTCATTTTATTTGATAAATATTGAAATGTGAATGCATATAATAGTTTCTATAAAGTTTATAATAATTTCAAAACCCTTTTCCATCTTATTAACCATAAAGAAACTTCTTCAATAAAATAAACCTAACTGAATCTGGATACGTTTAATTTTGAATTTTTTATAAATCCATAACTAATTTTAAAGACGATTTTTCATCGTCTTTTCTTTATTATAACAGATTCAGTGAAAAGTTAACTGAATGAAGTTATACTATCATGATATATGAAATATGAACACAGAAATAATTATTTATTTTAAGATATTATGATATTCGGAAGTATCCGAATTATAGTATGAACTAGGAATCCCAGCAATAACGTAATCGGATCAAGAAGTACTGGATAACCACAAACGAATGTAGTGTATTTAGAATTCGAAATCAAGCATTCAACATGTACAAAGAAATCATTAATTCATACAAACACCACAGATATGAAAGCCAACAAGATACAATATTATTATTTAGTGAAGATAAAGTGATTTGTCACTAATCGTAATTTGTGTACAATAAATAAGAACGAAAATACACTGCATTAAGTCTTGTGGAAAAACAAATTGTGCAAGTAGGAGTTAGGACTTACTATGTTTTTAATTGCACACTACCTTATCTCTATTTTACGATGGGTAATAGTGAATTGCTTTTGATGCACTACTAGCATCCTATGTATAATATATAAATGTATTTCTTTTTACAAGGCTTCTTATATAGTAAACGATATATATGACACCGATTTGACGACACTGTAGTGTAAAGATAAGCTTAATTCAACTGTGGTGAATTTTCAGTCAGTTTTTGATCAATCAGAAAAACGCTTGATAAATAGATAACTTATGGAAAAGAGGACAACAATATGACTAAGTGTAGATAGATTTCTAATAGTTAATCAATCTGTTATAGTTTTCTACAGGTTACTCTATCTACAAACTGAATAAACAACAACAAGCTATTCCTCATAGATGTAATGAATAATCAAATCGGTTTTTAAGAGTCCTCACACTGTTCCTAATTATGGTTGGTTATATAGTGTAGAGATGAGGGATGTAGAATTAGAGTGTTCATCATGAACTGACAATAGCTATAATGTATATATAAATATAAATATATATATATATATATATATATATATATATATATATATATATATATATATATATATATATATAAATACAAATGGGTCAAAAAAACATGAATTAAACAAGGAAATAATAATAATAATAATAATAATAATAATAATAGAAATGATGATAATAATAACTAATCTGAGTAAAATAACATCAGTTCATTTTGTCTGAGTAATTTTCACAAGCAGTTTATAATATGAAAACAAAACAATTTCAAAATACATAAAATGTCTGATATGATTACAGTAATTTATCAAAAATAAACGACCTTTTATTCAATTAACATAGTAACAACTGTGTGGTGGATGCGACTCACAAGGATGTTTGTAAGTAGTGCCTAGTGGAACGTCGTATCGAAGTTGCAACAATAGCCGAACAGGGTGAAGAGTTTTAGGGCATCAAAATCATGGCGTTGGTAGAACACTTGGAGGCCAGTTGAGAGGAGAGTTCAGATTGCAGAACACACTTGCAAATGAAAATGGATGATTGTATTCTGTGTATATACATGACGTAAATACTTTGTAACTTTTTGAAATAAGCTCATACATCCCTTCTGATTGTTATGTTTATAAAAGGATAACAATATGACAAAGTGTAGATAGATTTCTAATAGTTAATAAATCTGATATAGTTTTCTACTGGTTACTCTATCTATAAACTGAAGAAACAATAACAAACTCTTCCTCATAGATGAAATGAAGAATCAAATCGGTTTTTAAGAGTCCTCACACTGTTCCTAATTACGGTTGGTTATTTAGTGTAGAGATAAGGGATGTAGAATTAGTGTAATTCTCTGTAAACCAATAGATGGACGAATTACGTACAGAAAAATGTAAAAACTGTTGTCTGATTAGTCCTTCCAAATAATCTAGTACCAATAGGTATTTAAGGTTAGTGTAGTGTCAGTTTATATCTAACATACTTACTTACTTACTTACGCCTGTTAATCCTCGTGAAGGAGCATAGGCCGCTCACCAGCATTCTCCATCCAACCCTGTCCTGGGCAGTCCTTTCTAGCTCCTTCCAGTTGTTATTCATCCTCTTCATATCTGCTTCTATTTCCTGACGCACTGTGGTATTTTGACCTTCTTCTTTTTGTTTCCCTTCAGGATTCCAAGTTAGCACTTGCCCCATGATGCAGTCTGATGATTTGCGTAATGTATGTCCTATCCATTTCCATCGTCTTTTCCTAATTTCTTCTTCAGCTGGAAGCTGATTTGTTCTCTCCCACAAAAGGCTGTTGCTGATGGTATCCGGCCAATGGATGTCGAGTATCTTGCGAAGACAGCTATTTATAAATACTTGTACCTTCTTGATGGTGGTTGTTGTAGTTCTCCAAGTTTCAGCTCCATACAGTAGAACTGCCTTGACGTTGGTATTGAAGATTCTCACTTTGATATTGGTTGAAAGTTGTTTTGAGTTCCATATGTTCTTTAACTGTAAGAATGCTGTGCTTGCTTTGCCAATCCTTGCCTTTACGTCTGCATCTGAGCCTCCTTGTTCATCGATGATGCTTCCAAGATATGTGAAGGATTCTACATCTTCCAGAGTTTCGCCATCAAGAGTGATTGGATTGTTGTTTTCCGCTTCGAATTTGAGGACTTTGGTTTTCCCTTTGTGTATGCTGAGGCCTACTGATGCAGAGACTGCTGCCACACTGGCTGTCTTTGTCTGCATCTGTTCATGTGTATGCGATAGGAGGGCTAGGTCATCTGCGAAGTCCAAATCATCTAATTGATTTTGAGCTGTTCATTGTATTCCGTCGTTTCCTCCAGATGTCAAGGTCCTCATAATCCAGTCGACCACCAGAAGAAAAAGGAAGGGAGAGAGTAAACAGTCTTGTCTCACTCCGGTCCTTACTTGGAATGCATCTGTCAGCTGTCCTCCATGCACGACTTTGCACTGTAGTCCGTCGTATGAGTTCCAGATAATATTGACAATCTTCTCAAGAACTCCGTAGTGTCGTAGAAGTTTTCATAACGTCCTCCTATCCACACTGTCAAATGCCTATTCATAATCAATGAAGTTGATGTATAGTGACGAGTTCCACTCCACTGATTGTTCAACGATGATCCGTAGTGTTGCAATTTGGTCTGTGCATAATCGATCCTTACGGAATCCAGCTTGCTGATCTTGAAGGTGGGCGTCTACTGTATCTTTCATCCGGTTCAGAAACACTCTGTTGAAGACCTTTCGTGGCATTGACAGCAGTGGAATGCCTCTATAGTTTTCACATTTGCTCACATCTCCTTTCTTTGAAATCTTGACGAGGTGCCCTTCTTTCCAGTCCATCGGCACTTGTTCCTCCTCCCAAATCTTTTTGAATAGAAGGTAAAGCATGTTTGTAGTTGCTTCGATGTATGACTTCAGTGCTTGAGCTGGTATGTTGTCCGGTCCCGTTGCTTTCCCGTTTTTGATTTGTCTGACGTCCATTCTAATTTCTTCCTTCGTTGGTGGGTTGACGTCTATGGGAAGATCTGTGTGTGCCGCTTCGATGTCTGGTGGATTCATTGGAGCCAGCCTATTCAGGAGTTCCTCGAAGTGTTCTACCCATCTGTTCCGCTGTTGTTGAATTTCAGTGATTGGATTGCCTTCTTTGTCTTTGACCGGTTTCTCTGGTTTACTGTATTTCCCTGATAGTTTCTTCGTTGTATCGTAAAGCTGTTTCATATTTCCTTCTCTTGCAGCTTTTTCCGCCGTCGTTGCTAGTTCTTCCACGTATTTCTTCTTGTCGGCTCTAATGCTCCTCTTCACTCGCTTGTTTGCTTCTGTGTATTCAGCTTGTGCTTGGACTTTCTCTGCTCGTGTTCGGCTGTTGTTTATTGCTGCCTTCTTGTTCTTCCTTTCTTTGATCTTGTCTAGTGTTTCTATAGAGATCCACTTCTTATGATGGTGTTTCTTTAGACCCAGAACCTCTTGACACGTTGAAGTTAATGCTTCTTTGATACTCTTCCAGTTATCCCCCATAGTAGTTTCTCCTTTCAGTAGATCTTGTAAGGCTTGGAACCTGTTGTTGAGAGCTATCTTGAATTCATTGAGTCTGTCAGTATCTCGAAGGAAGGCTGTATTGAACCTTTGTATTGCTGTTTGTCCAGTTGTTCAGTTGTTTTTTAGCTTCAGTTTTAAATTGGCTACAACTAGGTGGTGATCTGAAGCTATATCAGCTCCTCTCCTGGTTCTCACATCTTCCATTGTCATTCGGAATTTTTTGTTGATGCAGATATGATCTATCTGGTTCGCTGTAGTGTGGTCCGGTGAGATCCATGTAGGCTTGTGTATACGCTTGTGTGCAAATATTGTGCCTCCTATGACCAATTTGTTGAATGCACATAGATTTGCAAATCTTCCTCCATTTTCGTTCTTTTCTCCCAGTTCATGTCGTCCCATAATATCTTCATATCCGGTGTTGTCTACTCCGACCTTGGCATTTAGATCTCCCATTAGAATGGTGAGGTCCTTTCTTGGGAATTTCTCTATGATTGACTGCAGCCTATCGTAGAATTGATCTTTAATGTTGTCGTTGCTATCATTGGTGGCTGAATTACATTGGATAATATTCATTAAAATCCCCTCCTTCTTTGTTTTGAACGATGCTTTGATGATTCTGAATCCGTGAGATTCTCATCCTACAAGTGCATTTTGTGCTACTTTGGACAGCATAAGAGCGACACCCTGAGTGTGTGGAGCATTTTCCTTTTCGTGACCGAAGTATAGCAGCATCTCTCCCGTAGCTAGCCTTTTTTGTCCAGCTTGGGTCCAGTGGGTTTCGCTGATTCCCAGTATTGCCAAATTGTATCTCCTCATTTCCATTGCTATTTGACTGGCCTTCCCGGTCTCCCACATTCTTCGAACGTTATATGTACCTACAAAAATCTTTGCTCTGGTTGTTAGGAGAAGCATCGGACTCGTGGCTTCCGAAGGAACTCGGCTTTCACATGAAGCGTCATAATTCTTCTAAATGAAGACCTTCTATCTCCCAGGGTAGAGTTAAAATGGTAGGCGTTTTTTAGCGAGTTAGTTTTCTACGGGGTGAGGACGCTAACCCCATGCCCAACCCTCCTCCTTTACCCGGGCTTGGAACCGGTAGTAACTCTAGAAGAGCTACAGGCGGAGTTATATCTAACATACAGTGAAGAAATTAAACAATTAATAAGTTTAACGCCATCATTTTACTTCATGCTGTTTTCAACAGTATACAGAGGAAATTTCTATTGTTCGTTATCCTCTATCTTTTTACCCAAACATTTAAAAGTCTATTTTTTCATTCACAATTCATCACAATTAAAGAAAAACGATCGTCATACTGAAAATGATACTAAACCCAGTTTCCCATTGACTTAACAGTGAAACTTCACTAGCAGTTATAATTAGAGATTAGTCACATTGTTATTGTGATAAAAATCTTGGAAAAAAACATGAAAGTGTCTAATATCATGCAGGAATAATGACCGACATAAAAATACAATAATTACAAATGTAGTTTAGTTTGATGTTTACAAAATTATCACTCTCATTTGTACGGTACTTATAACCTATACCCTGGTACTATTATTCATGTATAAATGATTGAGTTCAATACAAATGGGTCAAAAAACATGAATTAAACAAGGAAATAATAATAATAATAATAATAATAGAAATGATGATAATAATAACTAAACTGAGTAAAATAACATCAGTTCATTTTGTCTGAGTAATTTTCACAAGCAGTTTCTAATATGAAAACAAAACAATTTCAAAATACATAAAATGTCTGATATGATTACAGTAATTTATTAAAAACAAACGATTTTTTCTTCAATTAACATAGTAACAACTGTGTGGTGGATGCGACTCACAAGGATGTTTGTGAGTGGTGCCTAGTGGAACGTGGTATCGAAGCAGTAACAATAGCCGAACAGGGTGAAGAGTTTTAGGGAATCGAGTCAATCCTCACAAGATGTACATGTGTCAATTAAGGTTAATCAAATTCCAGTCAAAATATCGATAACCAGATCATTAACACAATTACACATTAAATCAAAAGTTACTATTTTTCACAAAGAGATATTCATATATTCAACTTATATTCATTTTCAATATGAATATTTGTGGAGATTGTAGTAATTTATTTTGAAAAGCTAGACGACTATAGAAAACCGCTTCGTCCTATTATGGGACTCCTCATCACTCAGTGAATCCATTTTCATATTCATTTATACAGATAAATATTGTAGTTCACTTTAATCCTAAATACAAATAAGAATATGTAATGTGTATTCAATGTCCATACACAATCAATCTTGATGATTCACCAAACATGTTTATAAGTAGATTTCAAAAGTTAGTTCTCCTTTATACGTCAACTAAATATCATCATCATCATCATCATCATCATCATCATCATCATCATCATCATCATCATCATCATCATCATCATCATCATCATCATCATCATCATCATCATCATCATCATCATCATCATCATCATCATCATCATCATCATCATCATCATCATCATCATCATCATCATCATCATCATCATCATCATCATCATCATCATCATCATCATCATCATCATCATCATCATCATCATCATCATCATCATCATCATCATCATCATCATCATCATCATCATCATCATCATCATCATCATCATCATCATCATCATCATCATCATCATCATCATCATCATCATCATCATCATCATCATCATCATCATCATCATCATCATCATCATCATCATCATCATCATCATCATCATCATCATCATCATCATCATCATCATCATCATCATCATCATCATCATCATCATCATCATCATCATCATCATCATCATCATCATCATCATCATCATCATCATCATCATCATCATCATCATCATCATCATCATCATCATCATCATCATCATCATCATCATCATCATCATCATCATCATCATCATCATCATCATCATCATCATCATCATCATCATCATCATCATCATCATCATCATCATCATCATCATCATCATCATCATCATCATCATCATCATCATCATCATCATCATCATCATCATCATCATCATCATCATCATCATCATCATCATCATCATCATCATCATCATCATCATCATCATCATCATCATCATCATCATCATCATCATCATCATCATCATCATCATCATCATCATCATCATCATCATCATCATCATCATCATCATCATCATCATCATCATCATCATCATCATCATCATCATCATCATCATCATCATCATCATCATCATCATCATCATCATCATCATCATCATCATCATCATCATCATCATCATCATCATCATCATCATCATCATCATCATCATCATCATCATCATCATCATCATCATTATCATCATCATCATCACAATGTCACTTAAACTGTATTTTAACAAATTAAGACTTTTGACTATAAATTTTAAAGAATTAAATTATATCAAAAAGAATCAAGATGTATATATTGGAGAATGTTATTCAACATAGGATGATGGTATTAAGAGGACATGGTAACATTGAACTACTCTGCACTTCATTGAGTTATGAACCATCAAATCCTTCAGAAAGTTTCTTAGATTAATTACTTAGATTAATCAAATACAAAATGAACTTAGTTACTATTGTACTTTTGTGAAAAATTAAAAAGTGTAAGTTTATTTTATGTAGATAAAATCGATAAAGATTTTGATATTTATCTATCTCTTACAAGATTTTCACATTTCATTGTGTACTTCATTCATTCAATTGAAAAATAATCAGATAAATAGTTGTTATACATAAAATGTTTCACAAATTCAGAACATGAATCAAATGGTTAGCAATAACTAGAAGTAGTACACAAAACATCAACATTTGTCGATAATTCTACCTAGCGAAACTAATCATATCACATGTTTTATCTGGTTCTATCGAAAAGTTACAAGATGAAACAACAGGTTTTTGACAGAGTTACAGCCATTTGAACTGATAATTTGTACATGAGATACTAAAAATTCACACTACACAACGAAGGAGATGTAGACTGAAGGTAGAAATAGATTCTATTCACCCTGCAATCATTAGTGAGTCTAAAATTCATGGACGACCATTGAGTGACGCTGAAGTGAACTTAAGAATGTCTGAATACTAACTAGGACTGAATGAGGGCTATAAACTAGAGTCAGTAATTGGGATTAGGATTTACAGTTAATGGTTAGAGCTAGGAATGATATTTAGAGTCTTCATCACAAACTTATGTCAGCTGAAATGCCGAAACTCTATCTCGCTATATGGATGAGTAAATTTCGCGCTCAAATCCAACACTTGCTATCCTAAATCCGATTGGTTGTTTCATAAATTATAGTTGTGCATACATTACTGAAATAGTGCGAATATAAAAGTGAATTCTTCTCTTCAATTCATATAACAACAAGTCTACATGTTATACTGAACGAATATTCTATTCAATTAATACCAATACAATGTTATAATGAATAAAGATCATAGTGAAATAAAATATGACCTCACATTTTATCTGGTTCTAGCAAACAATAACTCTTTCATTGCTTATTATTATTCAATTGAAATATCTTCCACAATAATTGTATATTAAATAATTCGAATAAAACCATACATAATATATCATACTACTATGTACTATGTACGGAATACCTCAGTGAAATAAAATGAATAATAAACTGAATGGATATCACACTGAGTTAAAAGTAAAACGAGCGTCATACGAATTAAATATCACACTAAATTAGCATATGATTTCGCATTTATCTTGTCCTAATACAAAGTATCAATCAGATTCATTAAGCTAAATTTTAAGGTCATTGCCACTAACATACAATTAAGACAAATGAAGTCAAAGATTGTAAAATATACTAATTGATCCACACTAGATTGACTAATGTTAGTTAACTACAATGTTCCTGAGTATTCAAAACTCACATACTGAAACATTAAGTTGATAAGTTTTAATTACTAATTGTGTAGGGATTTTGAATCTGAAAGAGCGCCCGTGTCTAGGTTGTAGAAAATGATCAAAAATAATCCTATCTATGGAAATGCAAGATGATGGCCTATTGATTAAAGTACTCAACAATGAACCATTCGATTTGTGCCGCGAATCTCAAACGGTTACATACTGATTGCTCTACATAATACAAGTACGATCTGTCACAATGATAAGAAGTTAATCTCGATCAATATCTATCTTTTTTTAATGGTAGAAAATATCTTTTCCAAACATTCAATTTTATTCAATCTAGACCAGTAAACACCAGAATAGTTTACTTATCGTCTCTAAAAGGTATAAAATAGTTGATTTACACCAAGTGCAAACTAATATATTATTAGTTCAAATAAACTGAATTGATAGACTTCGATCTTTGTCTTAAAGTATCACTTATCAAAGTAACACATAAATGACCAAATAATTTACTTTCATTTAAAAAAAATTTTACATCTCGAATTTCATGATAACGATATCATAGAGACTTTTCTTTTGAATCATTTTTAATGATACATTCATATCATGGTGACTAAGTAGAAGTTGGAATAACGTATATTTGTGTCATGTTTTCAATAGAGAATTAAATGGAAATAAACAACAATAAAACACAATACGAATACTAATTATTATTCTAATTTATTATGTATTATTGAAAATTAAGACTTATTATGTGAAAGTTTTCCGTGATCTATATCATAGCTTAAATGAAAGGGATTATAGAAAAACTATGGTTAATATACTCATATATATATATATATATATATATATATATATATATATATATATATATATATATATATATATATATATATATATATATATATATATATATATATGAATAAAAGCAATTCGTCATTGTAGGATCATCTTATATTTTTCAAATTTTATTCACTCTTACTATACTAAGCGGAAGTACATGTGGAGATAAGAAAATACTTAGACCGGACTCATTAATATTAAGTTTACATGATAGAATGTCTTTATTTGTTCAGCAACACTTATAGTGATCTAGTAGAAGGATTTAAAATATGATATTCCATTCATCTAACTATTCTCTAACAATTACACAAATCCCCTTTTGTAATCACTATCTCTAACCTTCAGTGAAAAGAATGATAGTCATGTATTATTAAACAAAAATTGACTCAAATCGAAACAAAATAAACAAAACTGAAAGATGTAAACTTGATGAGGTAAATGATGAACTATAAGTTCGATTTCGATTGAGGTTCTAGATGTTTATTACCAAGGAGTAGAATATAAAAATAAACAAATTATAATATATTGATTGAGATCATGAATCGATTGATAGTTTGTTTTAATCAACTTTATAGTTTGATGATATTGTTGATCAAAGACTGTAATGTCATTGACCTATGGAATTGACTGACCTTTAATTATATCTACTTTTTTTAGTGGATAGTCGATTTTATGACGTAACATGTTTATCTTTATTTAATAAACTATTGATTTATCAATGTCTAATACAACTCCCTTTGATATGTAAATATCTGACTATCAATCAATGTAAATTATGCCAAAAAAATGAGTATAGAAAAAATGATCTTAACCTGAAGAAGTCCAGACAAGTTCGCAGGACAAAACGTTAAAATGATTTAGATTTCAATCACTGTGATTATTTCACATATAATTTTCCCATATAATAACTATTCAAATAATGGTTTTAATTAATTTTTTTGTCGGTGTCAAATAAATTCTTATCTGGTGTTTTTATCTACTGACTTGGGTCATGAGACTTATAGTTTCCAGTATCCAGTCCCAGCTATGTACTATTACAAAAAATGTAGATATATTTTGAATAGTCGATAAGAAATTTTCATCTGTACCAATTTCTGTGTTCTAATTTACATCATAGAAATTATGGTAGTTTCTAGTATCAAGTAATCCAGTTTTATTGTTACTACAATTGGCCACATTATTTACTCATGTGTTTGTTTGTTTTTCACAATTAATCACTATAATAAATATCTCAATCAATAAAAAGAGGTAGAGTAGGGACAGAGCAAAATTGAAACACTTTACTAATTTTTAACATAAATGACAGATAATCAATATTGTGCTGACCTATGTCAAATCTGTTTTTTTTTAAGTCATACAATAAAAATCCATAACAACCAGAAAATTGCTCGTATTAATATGTGGTTTGTGCTAAGGATTTTGTGTACTGCAATCAAGCAAACAGAATTGAGTTAAATAACTTTTATTAATTTTTGACCTATTTCGTTAATTTATACAATAATTATGATAAATGATGCTGGTTTCATTTCAGATTGAAATAAAATCTCTATGCGCCCCGTTGTATAGTAAAAAAAATAATTGTGACCTTGCGTGCATTATATTTGGTAATATGAAGCTGAAACAATTAACAACGATTATGATTGGTTGGCAAATAACCAATGGCAGCACATAGCAACATAATATAAACGTTTGATCATTCTCGGTTTGCTCATTATTCCAAATTGCACTTATTATCTTAGTGGTAAGTTGAATATTCGTTTAACGTTTTCAGTGTATAGTATTATAATAGGTATTACGAAGCTACATAAAACTATTTCACATAGTAATTAGTTAAAATTATCATATTCTTAGTGTTGATTCATTCACAGACACTGAATTATATTATAGTTTCACTATGGTTAAGCGATAAATTAAACGTTGAAGCAGATAAACGCAAAAATTACTTCCATTATAATGCGCCAACTCCATATGATAGAATCGAAAGTAAGATGTTGAAAACTGAATAAATGATGTTCATATACCTATCTATATCGTCTAGCAAAGTGAAACTTCGATTCTCTATCAAATTATGTTAACATGCAAATAGAATAACAGTAAAGGTTTTGTAGTCAAAACTACTAGTTTGTGTCCTTATCCTATAAATTCAAATGATCGCATGATCTCATTTTGTCGAGAGATTGTATTTTGTAATCATAGAGAATAACACATTTAACCTATTATACATAACGTATGAATTATAAAAGTCCTGTAAAATACAAGGTTTAAAGCATATTCCATCTTTTTTAATCAAAATATTCAAGTAAGAAATGATGTTACTCATTAAATGGGATTTCGTTGCTATCGTTTATTAACAATGTTTTACTTTTTCTCACTTTCATATTTTCAAAACTACACTTTACATAGATTGTTTGTTCTATTACTCTGTTAGTTTGCCACTAATTTAAATATCATAATTTTTTTTTGGTATAAGATGATATTTTCCGAAATTATTCAACTATTTCTAAATCTACAATCTAAATAGTCATATTTACACAATCTACTCAAATCTGTACAAAATAAGTGAATTAATTGAACTGACCATTAAACGTTTAAGCTGTTAGTTCAATTTTTGTATTAATTGTTCTATTTAGTTTTAACATCAAACGAAACCATTATCTTTGTTTTGTTTTGTTTTTTTCAATTATTCTCAATAATATCGGTATATTATGAGAATTATATTCCGCTTACTCAAAATCATAAATAAATATACTTTCATAGTATTCAAATGCATTCGTGTATTACATCATCATGTTGTTAATAGTTACTATAGGATAGTTTTGATTCTGTTAAAAAGTTAATAGAAGAAGTCATTTGATGTTATTGAATAACAATTATATTCCATAGACATGGTATAGTTCGTTGACGATTTTCATAGAAATCTATTGAATACAAATGAATGTAAATTATTTTTTCTTTTTAAATAAAATTTACCATTCAAAGCTTTCCAAAAAAAAAACACTCACTAGAATTAAAAAATAAGAATAAATAAATAAGAAATTCTCAAATAAATTTCTCTAGCCCTCCCCCCTCTATCCGCCATAGTGACACGTTATAACACTTTAATAAAATGATTGTTGGTCATAAGCATAATGTATTTCATTTATCCATATTAAACTAATGTATAAATGATTAGTATATGACAGTATAATTGAACTGATGTCATTTAATTAATTTAACATTGTCTTTTATATTATTCTTCTATTATTCAATTTATCTAAATCTATTTCTTTCATTGAATTAAAGAGATTCAATGAAATTGATTCCAATGATTACAAATATTCAATTATTATCTGTTCTATGCTTACTTACTTATGTGAATGGAGGTTTGTTACAAAAATTAAATGAAGGTAAGATTAATTTTAAATCAGTGATTTTATCAAGAATATTCTTTTTTCTTTTTTTCAATATTTAAATGAATATGAATTAACTGGTGAGATATAGATCTACATTATACATAACAATAAGGATACAAAACTAACTAGACAACAAACTGATATTATTATCAGTGTGAAATATTAATTAAATTCTGAATGTTATATGTATAATGTTTGTTTCCTAATAGAAATTATATGTCACATTTCAACTAATCCATGAAATTGAACGATCTATCCATCATTGTTTTCAGTGAATCAATATCTCACAACAGACCCGGTTGAACTTGATTGGTCACTGCTTCTCACTAGGACTCCATGAAATACCTCTGGAAGCTAGTCACTCGCAAGCATATGTCGATTAATATCTGAAGGGGTTTTTGTGGATATCATAGTAATTTCAATAGTTTAGATGATGAGTCACTGAAATGGACGTCCAGTGCATCCAGGTTTCCCATAGTTATCTAGCTTCAATTGACTCATGATCTCAACTATTGAAATGACGATAATATCCACACAAAAAACACCCCTTCTGACAGAAATCATATAGTGAAGAAGTTATAATTCATTTATTTATAAATACTCTTGAAATCTAATAGATTAATGTTTCACAACAGAACTCAATGCTAGCTAGTAAGAATATCAGGAATAAAGTGGGAATACTACAATATGGAATGCTTAGTTCTATCTAACATCCCATATTTGATTCAATATTCAATCAAATATGTCTAGAAAATAACAAAGAAAATAACAAGAACTCAATTATTGAGAAAGTAGAATGATAAACTGAGGATATATTACAGCAATTCTTCGATTATTCACATAATCACGTAAACAGAAGATCAACATTCTAACCAACTGGTCATTCCTTCTCTTGTTCTGTTTAAACACATCATTACTCAAATCAGTGAATGCTATTGAGAATTATTGATTGAAATGTTTTAATAGACTGAGTATTTGTAGTGATTTGCTCCAGACTATAAACTTACTTACTTACTCCTGTTACTCCTCGTGAAGGAGTATAGGCCGCTCACCAGCCAGACTATAAAGACAGAGTGAAAAAGTTTGACAAATCAGTAGTATAAATTACATGTGAGGTTTATTCTAAAATGTATTGATTGTTAGATTTGCTAAAATTGTTAACATTGATAAATGTTAAATTTAAACATGTGATTGAATTCGATGAATAACTTCAACAAACGTTTTCTTTCGAAATGTATTATAGATGAAATTTCATCCGTCGGAAAGACTAATTCTGGACAAGATATAGGGCCGTCAATCGTTTCTGATGTTGTTGCAGAAAGTGTTGATAGTCTGAATGAAACCACAAATGTAGACAGTCATAAAGAAGGAACATCTAACTCGAATTCCTCTGAGTCGATTGTAGTGGCTGACGTTGCTAACACTGTTGTCAACTTAACCTCAAATCCTCCAGAATCTACGATTGGAAGTTCTGACAACAATTCAGACAGTACTGACAAGTCAGATGTTTCTTCTACTCTGACGACAGAAACTGATACTACTCAGAATGATATCGTTGTTCCGATAATTGCAGAGGGTTCAGAAAATCATACAGAAAGTACTTCTACTGTGATAAGTGGTGAAAATTATACAGAAAGCACTTCTACTGTGACAAGTGGTGAAAATTATACAGAAAGCACTTCTACTGTGACAAGTGGTGAAAATCATACAGATACAGTTATATCTGATTCAACCTCAGAAAATCTTGATAACCATACAGAAGCCCGTACAGATGCTAATGTACTTTCTCCTTTGATAGTAGCCGTTGGTGATCTTTGTAAAGAGTATGGTATTTACATGGACACACAGTTGACTGGTTTAACATCAGAAGACTTAGAAAATCAGACAGAAAGCACTGGTAGCTTAGATATAACCCCTTATACACAGGTCCATAACGTTGACGAAAATCGTACTGATGACTCTCACTTAGAGTTAACTTCAGAAAGTGTTGATATTCGAGCACAAACTTCTACAGAAACACCTAAATATCCTTCTCCTTTGATGAAATCAATTGATGACCTTTGCAAGGTGTTCACTAACACAAATGAAATTGTCTCTGATACAACACAAGAACCTACCGAAATCATCACAACAACTGAGACAAACAACACCACTGAGTCAGAAACCAAGTCTACTGACAACGAAACACAAAGTGTTTCCAATATTTGCATGAATACTATGTGTGCAAATGAAACAGGCACAACAACTGAACAACCAAGTACTACCGGCGCAGTATTGCATCATTTAGATCTTTCTGATATAAAGAGTAAGAAATGTAAAACAAAAAAATCAGATGAAGATGACTGTGAAACCGATTCAGAAAATGAAGATGCCTCGGAAGGAGCCGATAGTGATGGTGATAGTAATGATGAAAGTGACAATGATAGTGAATGAAATTGATAAAATTGTGCTGATATTAAACACAATCCCTGGTATACCAAGAGATGATTTTACATTTTTTAAACACAAAACAAAAACAAAAATAAATTAGCGTACTAATCTTTTAAATTCCGCTTAAATTTTACAATTTAAACATTGAAACAAGTTCTGTCAACTGATTGCAAAAAGATCAATGTAACATTTAGTCATTATGTATTACATTTTATCTCTTCACAATATATATACATTCATGGTATTGGCTGAAATATAAATTTTTCTTAAATTAAACTGTATATTTTCAATTTAATAATTGTATACTGAACGTCAAACAATTCATCATAGATATGCAGATGGACAGTGGCTAGTAGTGGAATCCAGGACGCGCGTTTCGCCCTATTCAGGACTCGTCGGCTGCATGTACCTGCATCTCGGAGTTGATGTTCACTCCGAGACTCGAAATTAGTACCGTTCGCTTCAAGCGTCATCGCGTTATTCACTCAGCTTCTGAGTTCTAAGGCTATATCGAGGCAATACGCACAGTATGCACATATGCCAATAAGAGACTGATCGATTGCAGTCTTAAACACCAATGGGAAGATTCAAACAAACATTACCAAGTAAATTTAATTTATCAGAGAGTTAAGCAAAATAATAATAAACAAGAAAATTTCACTTAATTCTAAATAAAATGTACATTTGAAATTGAAGTGTTCAGTTTAAAATTAACAAGAATAATTCGGCGACTTTATAATTTATGAGCGAACCAATCAGATTTAGGACAACAAGATTTGGATTTTGGCACGAAATTCACCTACGCGTTTGGTCAAATATCATCTTGTAATAAAAATCCGTAAATTTTATTCTGAACCTTAACCGTCAACTGAATCACAATCCTTATTCTTCAAACTGCTTTAGAACTCTCATTTAGCCATAGTAAGTACGTAGACACTGTTAAGGTCACTTTGGCATTGCTCGAAGATCGACCATAAATTATAGTCTCTCCGTTAATTCTACCGAATTGAGCACGTTCAATGTTTAGTAAATCTACCAGTCATTGTATTACAAAAGATAAGTTACAGAAGACGAGATTTTTAACAAAAAAAATATGAATATCAATAAATAGGACATTATTTTGTCATTATAAATAATGAGATATATCTGTATAGAATTATCAGTTACATGGAACCCTTTCAATCCTATAGTATACTTGTGAGTTGTATACAATAGGTCACTTAAACCATATTCTGTATAACAGTTTCTATCATGTACCTTAAACTGATGTTTCAGATCTGAACATATAACTGGGTATTTATTAGCTCTTAATAACATACAATCACTCATTAATCTGTAAGAAAAGGTGATGAAGAGTACAAATAACTATTAACAATAAATCTCTCTTTTTTGTGATAATTTATAAATATAAACTAGTTTTAAAATTAAATTTAGTCAATACTATTGTTGTTTTTATTACAAAGGTAACATAGAATATAGTGAATGGTGAATGAAAATCCGTTAAAGAATGATACATCTTCAGTGATAGATTCATCAATCTGCGATCGTAAATAATAACTTTTTACTGTATGGTTCTTGCTAGAATATTTGTTAACATCGGTGATGTTAAATTTGTTTACATCAGAGTTGAAAAGGATTAGTTTTCGTGCAGTTCTATCACATTATATTTCCCTCCACCGACTTACTTACTATAACATTTTCTTTAGGTACTCTATGGAATCTCTGATAAATTTAGTGTCTGTTGGAGTTTGGTGAAGTAATAATACAAATGTTTCTGGATTATCACTTCTTAGATTTACTTTCGTTTGTGCTCCGAAAAGTAAACTGTTCACAAACTGCTTACTATTATTATGGTAATTAGTTACCCTAATAAATAAGCTTGACCACACCAGTAGATATTTCTCTTGCTACAAACAAGTCTATTAATTTTACTGAGTGTATAATTAACAGAATATCGGCTGCCCAAATATTTGTCTTTGTCAGAGTAATCATAAAATCATTAGCAGTTAACTTTGATGTGACGAAAATTACCACATGGTTACATCTACCCAGTTTTGACATACATTTCAGACATCAAGCATCTTCCTTATAGCAAGACAATAATGCATTCGTTAACTTCGGCACTAACTTTGAATCTTAATTCGTTAATTCCTTGACATTTTGTACAGTAATAGATATAATATTGGAATCGACTACTTTTCACTCAAACAATTTCTCAAAAAAATATATATTGAGTTTTTTCCAGTTGAAATTAATTATCCTGCCAATAAGAGATGGATCAAATATTGTTGCCTGAAAATAAAGTTTGAATCGATAATTCGTTTCAATTATTACCTTGTCGATTTCACTATACTTGAAAAAAAGACCATCGTTTGTCAAATTATAATATACTATTCATAAGTAGCTATGCATAATCGTGTTGTCCAAGTTAGGATAGTTTATAAATAAACACCTATCCTTCCTCTAATAATCAACATCCAGTTGTAACAAATCATATGACCAATCGAAAAAGTAACCAGTATAACAATTGTATAGAAAATGTATCTAGGGTCAGTATTTAAAATGAGAAAAACCCTAATTATATAAAAGTTTAAAACCTCCTTTGTATATTAAAAAAATAGTTTACAATCGGAACTATCCTGACAGTATTGATTTTAATTTCCAATATCAAGGGTTGAATGGTTATATATGTATATATATAAGTCCATATGTGATCAGATTGTTACACATGGTGTATCGCATTAATTTATACAAAATATTCCTAATATATTTAACTGTTTTCATGAAACTACTTAGATTTATTGTGAAGTTCTCAACAACAAAAAAACTAATTCACTGTCATCTTTATAAACGTGATGAAGTAGGTTTATGTCTCTGACAAAGAAATGAGTCCGCATATTAAAAAATATACGTCTTCAAAATATATAAATGGTTAAGATCATCCATTAAGTTTAAAATGTTCAAAAAGCCCGTTTTTTATCCAACATATTTGACTAGCTTTTCCTTCAATTAGTATATGGGTGTTACATATTAGAGTGTAATTTTCACTCAAGATTTCATTTCAAACTTCAATGTGTATTCTATTTGTGTTTTTCATATTTTATATACAAATGGGCTTTGAATAAATCTAGTCAGTCAAAGCGAAAACTACCCTCAAATATGCAGCAGACACCAACTGATTGAACAGACAAGTGATCAAAAGCGCTAGGTATGAAATAGTTAATAGAGAATTTTAATGAATACGTTTTCCGTTTCACAGAAAAACTATCTTTGTCGTATAATAACTGGAGATGTTGATTATTGAACAAGATTTCACTAATATCGAACTTTTGCATATCGGATAAAATCAAGTTTTCGAAAGACTGGAGTGAGTCTGGATACAGTCGCTTGGTGAAAAACGCGTTAGCATTCACAATAATTGACTCTTTGATAGGAATTTTTATGCAAACCTTAACACTAGGATTCAACCACATCCATTTGTCAAGAAGCGAATGGAACGAAGAATCCTGACTGTTACTGTAACACTTTTATAGAAAAAAATCACAAACATCAAATGAATCATAGCAACAAGGTTATAGAGACATGTCAGTCGTAGATGGAAAAGTCAAAGATCTGATAACCGAATAACAATTTCTCTAGATATAACACTAAGTGACACACGTGTGAGTCCCTGAGGAAATCGTATTTTCACCCAAATTTTTAGGTACACCATATTAAGCAATGTCAACCAATACAAAAATAATATCTAACTTTTCTGTCCACTGCATTTAACTATTTAGTATTACTGAAATTTTATTTTTTACTGATTTCATCGACACATATAATAAAACTTATTTCTTAGAAATAAACACCAACCATCTGTTCTCTTTAGTTTCAAAGTAAATAATTCGATACTATATGGTCAGGTTTTGTCCTATGACATCAGTAAGGTTAGATTATATCATTGTTATATTTGGCCACCATTATAGATCAAAAAGTCATCCTCAATAATCCTTTAAGCTTGAAACTTACATAGGCCATTTCCCTCTTGTGGAGGACCATACGACATACACCAACATTCTCGATCATATTCTGATCTCAACAATCACTTTCAATTCCCATTCATTATTTTGATACCTACCTCAAATTCACCATTCAATGTGTTCACTGACCTATCACTTTCCCCATCACCTTCAAGATTACAACTTAGCACTTGTCTCATGATCCAATCTGATGATCTCCACAATATATGTCCAACCCACCTCAAACGTCTTTTCCTAATTTCCACTTCGGATGGAAGCTAGTTTCTTCCCTAACACAGTGAACTATTTCTGATGGTATCCGGTCAACTGACATTCAGTATATTGCATAGACAATTGTTTATAAATACCTATACTATTATGATGATGGTTGTGGTAGTTCTGCACGTTTCAACTCAATATAGTAGAACTGACTTGAAGTTCGTATAGAAGATTCTCATTTTGATGTTGACTGTCAGTTGTTCTATATGTTCTATATGTTTTATATGTTCCTCAACTGTAGGGATGTTGTCCTTACTTTGCCGATCCATGCGCTTACATCTTCATTGAATTCTCCTTGTTTATCAATGATCGTTCCAAAGTATGTAGAACTTCACCTGTTCCAGAATTTCTCCATTAAGTATGATTGAGTTGGTGTTCTCCGTGTTATATTTGATCAGTTAAACAACACTATATGAAACTGTAACAATTTTTTACAGGTAAACAAATAATTTTTATTAGATTCGAACAAATGCGGAACATCATTTTGTCTTTTTTTTCTGTTCTATATGGGTTATATGTCTATTATGCACCTTAGAGTATTTTGTTGATGGTCTTACAAAGTGACTATCTTATTGATAATATTTTCTCATTTCATTTGACTTTCAGACACTAGTTTCAATTACACAATATTGTATTACCTTCAGATTCAGTTAATAACTTTCTCGTTTGATTAGTATTGTAACCGATAGACGACAATCTATGAAATATGAACAACTTATTTAACCACTGACGAAAGAGATTTATGGAAAAAAGTCGATTTATAGTTTACATCATGAATTGATTATAGCTGGACACTCAAATAAAAATTAGAAAAAGCTGGACAGTTGTTTTTTCCAGTAGGGAAATTCTTAACAGCACTCATCTACTACCGTAACCTTGGGATGAATCCAGAATGTTCATTTCTCGCATTCTTGAACAGAGTGATTTCGTAAACATCATGCAGTAGCACAG